GGTTTGGAGACGTGTTTGTTTTTTTTGGTTTTTTTTGCCATGTCAGAGTAGTTTACCAGGTGAGGTTTGCACGGTGCAGTTCTTGTAGGTAACAGGAGGGGGTGGAATAGAGCACGTTGACTGTGCTGCCATTAGCCTGTCTGGCGTTGACGTAGTGGATCAGTTTGTCCAGGTTCTTGTACCACAGGTTGGCATTCTCATACTGGAAGTCTGAGCCCATGGTCATGATGATGTGGTTGGTCTTATACACCATGGCCTGAGGAAAAACAAAGGGCAAAGTGTTAAAGGTAAAGTTCAGGGTTTTTTTGTATGGTGTCCTGTGACTGATGTTATCGGTAGTTGCGTCTCAAACCTGACTCTTTGCAATGATAAGGAAACGATGCACCACTTCATCGACATTATAGTCCTCAAGATCAGGGTCGTCTCGAATGGGCGGATCATCGCAGGACTGATCCCAGCAGAAACCTTCAGGTGGGTTGTAACCATTGGGAAGAATTCCTGTTGGATGAAGGCAGAGAGAATGTTTAAAAAAACCCCAAAAAAAACAACATTTACCATGCACCATAGTTAATGAAAAATTGTAGATTTTGTTAGTTTTTTTTTTTTTTTTTACCAGTGAAGAGGTCAGCCACAGGTGGAGTGAGACTGTCGGACGCTCTCCACAGGAGCTCCTGCTCCCTGTCAATCATTCTTCTAGCCCGATCCTGGTAGTCAAGACGACCGAAGAAGAAGCCGTCATATCCCATCTGGATCCAAACAAACAAGTTATTGTTAGACTTAAACGTCAGTCTCAAGTGTTGACAAAAAAAAAAATCAAACTTAACCTACAGGACTTCCACGTCCATTATTATCATTAACTTAATTATAATATCAATTCCATTAGTGGCTCAGTACCTGTGCAAACATTGAAGCGTGTTCACGAGCGTGACCGAAAGGGTCAATGTGCCAAGCCACACGAGGGCGTCCACAAGGACCGAAGGTTTCATTCAGGAACCTCAGTCCCATGGTCATCTGGTCGATGACGGCGCTGTAGTGAGTGGTGGCCTCGTCGCTCATACACCAGCCGCCGTTCACAAACTCTAAACGACCTGGAAAAAGGAAAAGGAATGAAGGGGTTAGTGTTTTTAACTGAACGAAGGATCTTATTTTTAAATAAGGACCAATCGAATCAGGCGTTTATGTCAGCTGACGTTCAGAAGTGACTAAACAACCCCATACGAAAACAGGAAGAGAAACAAGTATTTTAAAGAAGTTGAACATTTTCAGACCGTTTGAAGTTAATGGTTAATCACAATCAGAATAGACCAGTTTGTTTTTCACAGTTGTTAAAATTCAATATTGATTCACTCCCACCTTCGTTTACTAACTGTTTGACCGTCTCCTGCATACTGGAGCTCTGCTGTTTCCACCAGCGGTAGAAGAAGGCCGTCTCCACGTAGATGAACCTCCTGTCCGGGTTCTTCAGCAGCTGGTCCACCACAGAGTCCAGGATGTACTGCACCCCAGCATGTTGAATGTCATTACGAGCTTTAAGAACACACACATACAAAATATATTAAAGCCTAGTTGACAGCCACATGAAGATGATAATCAGTCTTACAGAATTTTTTTTTAAATTTTTTAAAAATAAATAGAGACAGACAGAGAGACACTGACCTCCATAAAAGTACTGGTCTACGGTCTTGAGCCAGCCGACATCATCGTGGGTGTGTGGGACCAGGTGAACATTCAACATGTTGGCGTTGGTGGGGTGACATGACTACACACACACAGGCAAACACACGGTTAACATACGTTAACTTCTTTAACAAGTCCAGCCATATATTATTAACTACTAACCATAAGCTAGTAGGTCTTCACTTTAGCTAAAACCGTGGGAGTAACAACTACCTCTAATATGATTGAATTTGGCGCCAAAAACGTCGCTTTATTTTTCTTTAACCTATATTTTAACTCAGCAGCAACATGACGTTAAATCTTATAAATTAACTTCTAAAAGCTTCACCAAACATCGTGCGTGATGGTGAAGCTGAAACTGGAACCAACACAAGGAAGCGTACACTTTCAGTTTGGCCACTCAACGTCATTTAAGTCAATAATATTGGTTTAAATAGAAAAATCCAAACTTAAGGCTGTGGAAGTGTGTGGAAAAACT